CATCCTGTCGCTGACCAGTGAGGTGGCGACGGAGTTCATCAAGCCACGCATCAAACTCAATCGGTTGGCCCTCAGTGTCAAAGCAAAGCACCGCCGCCATCAGTGACAATAGAGGGCAGTGTAGAGCAATATAGTGTGGTGCAGTACAGTACAACGCGGTGCAGTGCGGTACAGTGCGGTACAGTGCGGTGCAGTGTGATGCAGTGCGGTGCAGTGCGATGCAGTGCGGTGGAGTGCAGTACAGTGTGGTTCTATGCGGTGCTGTGCGGTACAGTGCGGTGCAGTGCGGTGCAAGATGGTTGAGTACGTTATCGAGGGGGTTCGCAGGGCGGTGCTGATTGGGAAGAACGTGCCAAACCCGAGATGGCGGCGGGCTGGCGACGACGCGAATGCAGGGGCGGGCCGACGGGCGACGGACACGAGGGTCCAGCAAACGGCGGCAACGGGGGCCGGCTAGGAGCTGGCGCGACGGAGAGAAGAGCCGGCCGCGACGGCCGCGACGGCGGCTATGGGCGGCCGCGACGGCAGGAACAACCGTGGGGTGGCTGGAGACGGCAGCGACGGCGGCTAGGGGCAGCTGCGACGGCAGCTAGGGGTGGCCGCGACGGCTAGGAGCGAGCGCAACGGCGGCTAGGAACCGCCGCGACGGCGGCTAGGAACCGCCGCGCCGGCAGCTAGGGGCGGGCGCGACAGCAAGGGGCGGCCGTGGGACGACGGGAAACGGCCGCGACCGCGGCTAGAGGCAGCCGCGACGGCTAGGGGCGGCCGCGACGACAGCTAGGGGCGGCCGCGAATGGCCAGGGGGTCGGCTAGAAGCGGGCGCGAACGGCCAGAGGGCCGGCTAGGGACGGGCGCGAACGGCCAGGGGGCCGGCTAGGGACGGGCGCGACCGGCCAGGGGGCCAGCTAGGGACGGGCGCGACGGCCAGGGGGCCGGCTAGAAGCGGGGCAAGACGGCAGCTAGGGCCTAGGGGCGGAAGCGTGGGCGGGCTAGGGGGGGGGACCTAAACTACTATGATACCATATCAGAATGAATAATGATTGAGAAGTGAGAGTACAAGAGAATATACCTAAGTGTTGTACCCTCTAAGAGATGAACCTATGCAGTCTAGACAAACATAACGCATACATGTTTGACAGTTTCCACCCCATACTACTGTTTACACCCTCCTTGCCACAACTATTCTGCCACCCCCGTCTCACTATCATTAGACATGCAAAACAAAACAAACATAAGTTAGTCAAGGAATGAGATTGCAATGACAAAACTATGCTTCTCTTAATTACTTACAACATGCCTCCTTTTAGCAGGTGTGGATGGGGCTGCACAAGATGTACTCTTGCTGGTAGCCGGATCGGTTTTCTTTGGCATCTTAGTGATGTCAAGGACGGTTTTGAAGATGCGGCTTACATCGAAATGGAAGTGTACCTAAAAAATTCATGAAACAATTTGATAAGATAGAAAATTGAAGCGCGCACGTATTTTATACTGCCAGACACGCACCTTAGCTTTCCATTCACCGTGCACTGCATCGAATGCTTTTTTACGCTCCTCCTCATTGAGTGCGAAGAAGGTAGTAATCTGGAAGTCCGAGATTGCGTTTGCCAAAACTTTTGGCTCCACTTCGATGTTCTTGGACAGGTGCTTGTACGAGCCTGACAAAAAAAAAAAAAATGATCACTTAACGTTCATTGGGCATATGGTATGGGCCAAATCACATGCAAGTTTTAACTTACTGCTCTCTTCCACGATGAGAGTTGCCGTGATGTTATCAATCGACAAGATTGATGTGGATCCGTGTGAAGAGCACATGTGCGCATTGTTACTGACAGAGGTAAATTACAGGCATGCCACACAAAGCATTCCCATTACGTGCATTGCAGACAGGTCGACAGTTGTGCTGTGGCTCGTTTAAAACCACTTTGAAGGTTGCAACTGTATCCATCTTCGTTGTTGTCATGAGGGTCTCGACATGCGTCATTCTGCCAATGGAACAAAACCTGAATTAGATTGCAAGATCTGAATATTGCACCTTTACACGACAACATTGTACAAACAGTCATTTTATGGCCAGCGACGCATCCGCAAAGCTACAGACGACAAAATTCGTAGGAAACAAGTTTGAAACTGGGGTGTGTACTACGCACTTGAATTGAGCAAAGTTTCGCCAGGAGGGTCGTCGATAGTGCACCCAACTGTGCCTAACCTAGATTCAGAAACACTGTTTAGGATCCGAATTCCGCGCTTCGAAACACGCCCTGACACAAACTTTGATCACAATGCATCTAAGAATGGTACTGTATACATGCAACTAGACCTTGTCGGAGACCCGCTGGGGTTGCCCTTGAGATCCTCGGGGAAGGGCCACAGGTGTAGAGCTTGGGGGGTTATGGGCGCACTTACCCGCTACTTAACAAGCCCCTTTAACTCAGTGGTTAGTGACTGAGTTCTGCCATGGTATCAAAGCCAAAGTTCTTGGGTTCAATTCTCAGTATGTGCACCGGCAGAGGTGCAAGGTCTTCCGTTCCTATCCCAGCAAGGGGGGGTGTCGGAGACCTGTTGGGGTTGCCCTTGAGATTCTCCGGGAAGGGTCACAAGTGCAGAGCCTGGGGGGTTATGGGCGCACTTATCCGCTACTTAACAAGCCCTTTTAACTCAGTGGTTAGTGACTGACTTCCGACAGACCTGACATTGCATGTACACAAATGCACAAGAGTGAACCAAAATTTATTGCATAACAGTGGTGAGTGGTTACAAACGGCACGTTAGGACAGTAAGAAAATTACTTAAATTTGTTTTAAAACAATCATCAAACGCACAAGAATTTAAGCCCCTGGGCTTAGGCAGCATTGCAACATCTGCCCTCAGTAAACCAAACAAAAGACCTAAAGTCCACTCCATCCTGTGTAGTACCCAGCAGAAGTACAGGGGGCCGGCGGGCATGCGGTGGGCTGCACGTAAAATAGGGAGACGGAAGGCCTGCACTAACCGCATGCCCACTGCGCTAACCGCACGCGGTGGGCTGCACGGAAGGCCCTCCCTACCATCCCCCTCCCCCATCCCTATCTCCCTCTCTACCATCCCCCTCCCCCAGCCCTATCTCCCCCCTTCCCCTGCAAAAGCACTCGCTTTCGCATCCCCTCCCCAAGCCCATCTCCTCCCAAAGCCCATCCCCCCCTCCCCTGCCATCTCCCCTGCTGCATCTCCATTGATCCAATGTCCTTCACCTCCCCGTGTCCTTCATCTGCATCTGCATCTCCATGGACGAGTTGCGAGACGGGAGAGGAGGAGATGGACAAGATGCGCGACCGGAGAGAGGGGAGGGATGAGATACGCGACGGGAGAGAGGGGAGGGACGAGATACGCGACGGGAGAGAGGGGAGGGATGAGATACGTGACGGGAGAGGAGGAGACAGACGAGATACGCGACGGGAGAGAGGGGAGGGACGAGATACGCGACGGGAGAGGAGGAGACGGAAATACGCGACGGGAGAGAGGGTAGGGACGAGATATGCGACGGGAGAAAGGGGCGGGATGTCGCACACCATCCCCTTCCTTCAGCAACCCTCCTTGCTGGCTTCTACCCTGGCTCATTAGCTGGTTTCACTTGCCTTCGCTTGTACGTGATTAACTCCGACTTTCCTTGCTCTAATAAAAGCTTCGAGATTGGACAAGCAACACTTCCAAGTCTCGCCACCCTCTGTCTGGCCTCTCCTTAGGGGTCTAGCATTTGCTCAGGAAAGAATCCACTAGGAAACAAGCATTCCCGCCGTGTCGAGAGAACAAACAGAGTAGGTACCAAGGCGAAACCACTACGGCTTTGTGCTACTCCTCCTAGCGGATGCCCTCCTGCGCCTGACCCTTCCCTCCCAGCTGAATCCGCCGTGCGCCGTTTTGATGTTTTCTCCTCCGGTGGCAGTCCCATGATTTCTGCCATCCACCCCTTCCTTGCATGCTGCATGGCCCTTTTCAGCCTTGCAATCCTGTCTGCTGATGTGTTCGAGCCCAGCTGCCAACTGCCCAACTGACATTGCCGTGCTTCCGCACCCGACTCACCCATCACTATATATTGCGCACGATTGACATAACCTATGTACAGTATTTACAACATTCTCGCCTCCCTTACATCCTCTCGAGCTGTCCCTTGAAACTCTGTAACCCAATCATAGAGATTCATGCGACAGATACTAGATACGCGGCGGGAGAGAGGGGAGGGACGAGATACATGACGGGAGAGGAGAAGACGGACGAGATACGCGATGGGAGAGAGGGGAGGGACGAGATACGCGACGGGAGAGGAGGAGACGGACGAGATACGTGACGGGAGAGAGGGGAGGGATGAGATACGCGAGGGGAGAGAGGGGAGGGACTAGATACGCGACGGGAGAGAGGGGAGGGACGAGATACGCGACGGGAGAGGAGGCGACGGACGAGATACGACACGGGAGAGAGGGGAGGGACGAGATACGCGACGGGAGAGGAGACGGATGAGATGCGCACCGGGAGAGAGGGGAGGGACGAGATACGCGTCGGGAGAGGAGACGGACGAGATACGCACCGGGAGAGAGGGGAGGGACGAGATACGCAACAGGGGAGAGGGGAGAGAGGGGCACTGTGGCTGTTCGATGCGCCGAAACTCTGCCGCAGCCCAGCTCCGATCACGGCGCAGCGTTCCTAACCTCGCAGCTAACAGAGTTTCCTAGGTTCTATGGAATAATATAGGCTTCCCGCCGTTTTCACCGCGGGTGAGATGGTCCTTCCCTGGTGACTACACCGCACCTAATACAAACCCGAGCCCCTCTTGAAACTGCCGGGAGGGGTGTGGTCGTATGGCGCAGTCATCGAGTGTCGTGCTGCGAGGTGTCATGTGTCGTATGCCTTCGTTTGGGTGTATGAAATGCGCAGAAGTTGCCGCGCGCCAAAGATTGTCCTCGCTCACCGTTGCTTTTGTTTTGGGTTTGTCTAGGCTGTCATTTCAATTAATTGCAATATTTTTTCTGGCCCAAAATAAAAAGTTAGTTTTAAGAGAGCCCTGGGTTTGCCTTTTTAGTCGATGGCTTTAAGAGAGGTTCCCCTGTGCTTAGGTGGGCCAGGTGGAATGACGTAACTTGGCACGAATGCGTGAGTCACGGTGAGTCAAGACATGGTGCTGCCTCTACCGACGCTCATGGACCTCTTCAACTTGTAGCAGCCTGCAACTCCCTTGTGCACAGCTCCTTTTTGGCACCAGCATGGAAGCCCATCTGCTCTGATCCACGCTGGTCAACGTGGCAGACCTGTGAGACGGACTGCGCTGCCGTGCTGCTGTGCTGCAATGAAGCCATGCAGCCATGGCAGCATGGCATCGCAGCCGCACGATCTGGTTCCAAACATCTTCGCTCAACAACCCAGCCTAACACTCAGCTTTACCATCGCATTGGGAAGCTGTGAAGGCCAGCCTGCACTGGGTACTTCATCTGGAACTGCGTGCACTAAGCCCTCCAACACGAACTTCCATCCCGTGACCCAACGACAGCGAGCGCACCTACACGCACGCATGCACACACACTGAGGCATGGCGCAGCATGGAACCGACACAAAGCCACACCTCACCCCTCCTTCCCACCCCACTCCTCCCTCTGCCTCTCCACTGAGGCGTCTCGGTGGACCTCCCTGCCGTCTCGCGCTTGGTCCCCGTGGTGAGGGTGGCGGCGGGGGGGAGGATCTGCTGGCTGGGGGAGTGGCTCTGGCTCGGGCCTAGCGAGAGAAGCAACTGAATGGGGATAGAGGGGGAGGAGGGGAGGGGAGGGGGGGGGAGACGCGGGGGGGAGGGGAGGGGAGGAGGGGAGGAGGAGGGGGAGCAAAGGATGGATGAAAATCGAGGAGAGAGAGGAGATGCTGCCTGGCTCATGATGGATGGTGGGAGTGCTTGCTTGACTCCAGTCTATGCTCGTTCCCTCCCAATGCCATGCTGCTGTGGGCCCGTATCACCGCGCCTTCAACCTCGCCGCGGCTCATCAGCTCAAAACTTCTCGAACCCCGTGGCACACGGGCTAGGCCAGTCGGTTCAAGTTTCGCTGCCACAATAAGGCCAAGGCCGCTGCCGACTGCCGTCTAGACCACGTGGCGCCCAGACCACGTGGCAGGGTAGCGCATGATGTCAGCAGCGGCAGCGGCGGACTCGGCAGAGTGGACGGCAAGGGCCCGGAGGGAGAGAGGAACCTGAAGCTGGGCGCAGGAGCCGGGAGGCAGGAGGAAGCCCTGCGGGGAGGAAGAAGCCCCGCAGGGAGGAGGACGCCCCGCGGGAAGGACCTTCTGTGAGGTACCCAGACGCAGCTGTACGGGCAACCTTCAGTCATGAATGGCGCCTTCAGGGAAGCAGCTGGCTGGTTAGGCAGCACAGGAAGAGGAGCAGGCTTATGCAGAGGCGCTGCAAGGAGCTGAAAGCAGAGCTTGGTTTCCTGCACAAGGCGCCTGGTTTCAAGCACAAGGCGCAAATAGCAGACGGAGTACGATACCATAACCATTCCACACAGCCATTCCCATGGCCATCCCATCACCCACCTTCCCTCACCTCCCCATCTCCCCCACCCTCACCCATGCCCTCCCCCAACCTCACCCATGCCCTCCCCCACCCTCACCCATGCCCTCCCCCACCCCACCCCACCCTCACCCATCCTCATTCATGCCGTTCCCATTCTCCTTCCCCTCGTGCCGCTCACCATGGCCATAACGACGCCGTCGACAGCCCCAGCGAAGGCGCGCGCGGCAGTCGCAGGAGTGCAGCGGACGCCATGCATCGACGGTGCCCACTCGTGCCCCCGCGTGTCCACGCGTGCCCCTCAAATTCGCTGATGATCGTGCTGCCGCCCGCCACATGCCAGTCCAATGCGACTCATTCGTTCTTCATGACAGGGAAACGGATGACGGGAAGCTTGAAAGATGGGAGGGAAGGGGAGGGAAAGGTGGGGTGGGGGGGAGGGGGAGGGAGGAGGGGGGAGGTAAGGGGACAGAAGGGGAGGGAGGAGGAGGGAAGGGGAGGAGAAGGGGTCATGGAAGCAACGGCACTTGAGGAGCGTGGCGCCCGCGCTGGGATTAAACAGCGGCATTTGAGGAGAAGCATTCCGCCATTCTGCATGCCGCCATGAGGAAGGCAATGTGGCAGCGCGTATGGCGATAGCGACCACGGCGTTAAACCGCCTGGCTCCAGCGCGCATGGCCCCGCGCGCATAGCACCAGCGCACATGTCGTCAGCGGGCAATGCATCTTCGCGTGTAGAGCCAGCGCCCCTGACACGAGCAAGACTGGGGTAGCGAGCATGGCGTTGGTGTTATCAGCGAAAAATAGCCAAGGCGTGGTCTAGCAGGAAACACGGACAATGAGGCTGCAAGCAGTTGGGCGAGACTGATGGGTGGTGGTGTGGAAGAGAGGGCATGCAGCAGAGCCGTGAGTGAGGAGAGCTTGCCTGAGTAATGCTGCCCAGTGCCCACCAAACCCTAGTCAGGCTGGAGCTACATCACCCAAGATAAGGCTCACCCATCACACTCGAGGTCAGCAGAGGGACAGAATTTCCACCAAGTCACCATGGTAGAGCAGATTTTCCTTCAATGGGGGTTTTAGAGTCATACAAAATGGGAATGGACTTACGCTTAATAAGGAAATGGTATTTCATTATCCCAGGTTTTAGTTTATAAAGCATACACGGCTACAACGGGGTTGCCGTGCACTGTGCCACGAAATTCAAATCGCGGAATCCAAATGTGGTCTCCTGACGAGCCGCATACATTTTACCCGCCTTGCAGTTTCATGTCTGGATATGTGCGCTCCGCGCCAATTTACAAACCACGCGTCTCAGCTCTGCCGAGCCTCAACCGTATGCTCCAGACCTAGCTATATCCAGCCCCCCCTGTTGTCTTGATATTGCCTCATTGTATTGTTTCCTCGTGACTCAATTATTCGACACTCGTTGTTTGCGCTGCATTACACGTGGCCATCAGAGCCAACAATTCTCAACATTGTGCTCTAGTTCCACTGCAATACCGACACTTAGGGAGGCTAGCGCCGTGTGCTTACTGCATACCCGACATCTCATTGATATTAATCAATAGTAACCTACAACTACGACTGAGCGTGCTGAAAGCCGTCCATAACTTCTACGAAATGGTGGAGTCGTCGTCATCTAACGACATGGCCGATGAAGAAAGGGTGGTAGCACTCAACGAAGTGCATCTTATTAACAAGTTGTACCAGGAGGAATTGACGCTCCTGCATGCTAAACAAGCCCGAGCAGAATCGGAAATCTCTGCGTTGCAAAGCCAGATGAAACAGACATGACACAACACGATGACGCCAACGACAAACGGAGGACAACAAGAGCAAGTTACACAGCAGCGTACCGAAATACGTGGCGACAATGAGTTGTCAACTTATATATATGTTTGTATGTAGAAGTTATAGGCTAGATAGGTTTGTGTTCTTAGGGGGTACAACTCCAACCCTATATCTCCCTTGTTCTCACTTGTTTCTAGTCATTCTGCTATTCTAACATGGTATCATAGTAGGTTAGGTCCGCCCACCCGCTTCCGCCCTCGCCCTAGCCTACCGCCCCACCGTTCCCTTAGCGCGCCCCGCTGGCCTTAGCGCGCCCCGCTAGTCCTTAGCGCCCCACCAGCCCCGTTAGCGTGCCCCGCTGGTCCCTTACGCGCCCCACGTGGCCCTAGCGCCCAGCCGGCCCTTAGCGCCCCGGCGACCCCTCGTGCGCCCGCTGGCCCCGTACGCGCCCCACCGGCCCTTAGCGCCACGCCGGTCCCTTAGCGCCCCGCCGGCCCCTCGCGCGCCCACTGATCCCTTACGCGCCCCTCGCCCTCCCCTAGCATGCCCCTAGCGCCCCTCGCCGGCCCCTAGCGCCCCGCCGGCCCCTCATGTGCTCGCCGGACCCTAGCGTACTCGCTGGCTCCTTGCGCCTCGCCGGCCCCTAGCGTGCCCACTGGCCCCCAGCGTACTCACCAGCCCCAAGCGCCCCTCGCCGGCCCCTCACGCACCTGGCCGGCCCCTAGCGCGCCGTGTCGGCCCTTAGCGCCTAGCCGGCCCCTCGTGCACCCTCCCTGCCCCTCGTGTGCTCACCGGCCATTCGCTCTTGCCAGCCCCTCGTGTGCCCGCCGTCTCCTCGCTTCCCTCACCGGCCCCTCACGTGCCCGCCGGCCCTTTGCGCTTCGCTGGCCCTTCGCACACCGCCGGCCCTAGGCGCCCCACCCGCCCCTCGAGTGTCCCACCTAGCCCCAGCGCTCCGCCGACCCTTTGCGCCCTGCCGGATCCTCGTGCCTCGCCGGCCGGCTGCGCGTCCAGGGCACTAAGCGCTCTGCTCGGCCCTCCCCCCCCGGTCTTCCCTCCGGAGAGTCCTGCCGCCGCGCCGCTGTACAGCCGTGCCGCTGAGTACCTATGCTGCTATGCCGACGTTTCGCTGTGCCGCCGTGTCGCTGTGCCGCCGTGGAGCTGTGATGCTGAGGCTGCACGATGGCGGACGCCGTACTTTGCCTCGACGCGGAGGGGCACGCAATCGACTTCGTCGCCTGGCTTGTCGATATTCGCCGTCACCTGACATGTCAGCGCCAGGATGGGCACTCCCTGGCTGTGCATGTTGATGGTTTGATTCCCCACCCCCCTGTGCCTGATCCTCTCCCTGCTGACCCCACCACTGCTGAGCGTAAGGCCTTCTCTGCTATTGCGCTAGCTTGTTCTGTCTGGGATTCACGCGATGTTATAGCGCAGCTCGACATTAGTCATGTCCTTCCCCTGTCTGAGCGTCCGCGCTTCACTGTTGTCGCAAATGCCAAGGATTTCCTAGATGCAGTAGTTGTGCGCTACTCTACACCCGCCTTCACCTCTGCTGGCCGCCTGATCCTCCCCATGCTGTTCCCAGATCTTGCCGCGTTTCCCACTGTCGCTGACCTAGCCACTCACCTCCGTGCATTAGAGACTAGCTACCGCGCTGCTAGCACTGCTGCCCAGCTCACTGCCTTCCCCCCCACTGTTCTGCGCTACCCTGTACCTTATTGCCATGCAACGGCCTGACCTCTTAGCCACTGCCCGCAACCACTTCCTTAGCCAGCACCCTGGTGACCTCACCATGACCGCCTATGTCAATGCCCTGTCTGAGATAGAGACTCGCCAACGCACTATCGCTCAATCGAGTGGTGTTGCGGCAGTCCCTATCTTTCTGGGCTGTGCTCCCTCCCAGTGCACCTATGCTGACGTTTCCGCAGCAGTCGCTACGGCTGCCCCTGCCGCTGAGACCGCAGCTGCGGTGCTCCCGCAGCAGCGCCAGCGTAAGGGCCACCGTGGCCCCAAGGGGGGGCATGGTGGTGGTGCTGGTAGTGGTAGGGGTGGTGGCAGGGACAGTGGTTCTGACGAGGGGGTTGGGGCTGGAGACCAGGAGCAGCAGCAGCCGCAGTCAGCACAGTAGCGGCAGTCGCAGCAACACCCGCAGCAGCAGCAGCAGCCGTGGGCCCGCCTCCCGCCAGGGTGGCCAGGAGCCTCTGGAGGTGGTGGCCGCGGTGGCTGCCTGCGCAGCTTGGCATTCACCGACAGCGTCGCTGCTGTAAGCTGCCAGTACCAGCTCCTGACCGGGCCCCTCCATGGCACTGTGTGCCGCTGCCCGCACCCGACTGCCCGCTGCTTCCGCTGCCTCGACAACCTCTTTCGTCGCCGCTACGGCCCGGCCCCGGACCTCCCTGACTGGCATAGTCTGCCGCGCCACGGTGTGCCTGCTTTTTAGTTAGACATGGATCAGATTAGTTCTGCCCTACATTCTTTGTATGCCGACGCTTCTAGTATGTCTGGACCTTATTACCCTGTGTTCTCTAGCTTAGGCGTAGCACCTCGGTGTAGTAAAGACTCCCCTGCTGCGTTAGGCGTAGGACCATTTGCTTTGTCTAGCCTAGGCTCCACACTCGCTCCTCCTTCATCTGCTGCTACTGCTTCGCTGTCCTTCACCCTTGACTCTGGAGCGCCTGCCTGCTTATTCCGCGACCACGCCACTCTCACGCCACTTGCCGCGCCTACCGCTGTCGCACTTGCTGACCCCTCTTCTGGCCCAGTAGTTGCTCACAGCTACACCACCCTTCCCTATCCAGCGGTCCCTTCGGGTTCCCTTATAGGCCGGCACCTCCCTTCGTTCTCCAGGAACTTAGTTGGTGTCGGCTATCTTCAGGACCTCGGCATCAACACTACGTTTTTTGGTCTTGAGCGGTACGCTGACTGTACCGAGGCTGCCTTAGGTTCCCCCCTTGCAACGTTCCCCTAGGACCTGGTGTCTGGCCTGTTTACGTTGGACACTGCTTCCCCCCCGGTTGGCGCGTCCTCCCCGGGCCCTGCGTCTTCCCAGCTCCCTGCGGCTTGCTCGTGTCAGTCGCTCACTCACTCTTCGCTTCTGTGGCACCACCGCCTAGGTCACCCCGCACTCCCGTGTCTGCGTCACATGTCTCAGCACGGTCTAGTCCTAGGTCTGCCTGCGTCGCTACGTGCCCTCCCTCCCTCGCCTACGCCACTGTGTACGCCCTGCGTCAAGGGCCGGCTGCGACGTGCTCCTCACTCCTCCTCACTTCGCCCTGCCACCACACCCCTCCAGACCCTGCACCTGGAGGTCTGGGGCCCGGCTTCCGTCCCTGGACCGCGTCACGAGTGCTACTTTCTCGTGCTCGTCGATGACTTCACGCGCTACATAACGGTGTTTCCCCTGCAGCGGAAGGCCAACGTGCCTGACTTCCTTATCCCCTGGGTCGTAGCTGCGCGTCTCCACCACGGTCTCCCTGTGCTGTGTCTTCACTCCCACCGAGGCGGCGAGTTCGCCTCCAGTCGGCTCGGACAGTTCTGTCGTGCGGAGGGCATCACCCAGTCGTACACCCTATCAGATTCCATGCAGCAGAATGGGGTTGCTGAGCGACGCATCGGTTTGGTCATGGAGGTGGCTCATACCTCCATGATTCATGCCAGTGCAACCCATTTTCTGTGGCCGTTCGCCGTGCGCTACGTCGCCTGTTCTTGTCTACAGTATTGACGCTCTTGTCTCTGTTGTTGCTGACTTTGCCTCTACCTGCTGCCTTGACTACGCCACAGCTCTGGCCTCTGACCGTGTCGGTCCTCCGTCCGTCGGGGGTGCTCTTGCCCTTCGCAGTGACGTCCGAGAGAATAGGGTGTATGAGCTTGCTTTCCTGTCTGAGGCCGCTCCCCATCTTTATTCCATGCTGCTAGTCCCTGAGTCTGACCCAGACGCCTTTGACATCCCAAACCATCGCACCTACGCTGAGCCGACCTCAGGACCCTGAGCCTCTCAGTGGATAGCTGCCATGGAGCAGGAGATGGCATCTTGGAGATCCACCAGCACCTACGTCGACGCAGTTCCCCCACCTGGGGTGAACGTAGTCGATGGTCGGTAGCTCTTCAAGGTGAAGCGCCCCCGGAAGTGCCACCTGTGTTCAAGGTGCGCTACTTAGCTAGAGGCTTCAGCCAGCG